CATCAGTCCTTCCAATGAACACCCAGGACTGATCTCCTTTAGGATGGACTGGTTGGATCTTCTTGCAGTCCAAGGGACTCTCAAGAGTCTTCTCCAACACCACAGTTCAAAACCATCAATTCTTCGGCACTGAGCTTTCTTTATAGTCCATCTCTCACATCCATACATGATTACTGGAAAAACCATAGCCTTGAGTTTTAGTCATTTGATCATTTTAAGGCATACTTCATAATTTTTTCATTGAGAACCAGACATTGTGGATAGAAACTTGGAGGGGCCCTGGGTGATGTTATCTTTCTCTTCAGAGGGTTAAGTTTTCTTCTGGCAGGTAAAGGAGCTGGCTTTAGAGTTTGTCACGGATGGTCTGTCTTAAGTTTGCCCTTGCTATTCGGGTAGAATCTTTATTTCTAGAGGGTGGCCCTCTGGGATCCCAACTAAAAGCCTGGGATATTTACCAAGGCCCCTATACCTTTGAATTTCAGAGGCTTGAATACAATCTTTTTGAAACTGAAGTAATGTCACATTTGTTTGCCTCCCTAACTACCCTATCCTGTTTTCCATGGCCCCTTTCCGATCTGTGTTCTTTTTTTCTGAGCTAAGATATACTGAATATCTCACCTTCCCCATCCCCATCTTTTATGAGCTCTGTCTTCCCATCCTGGCCCTTGGCTGTTACCACCACAGAGCCAGTGGCCTTTGACCTCTATGTTTTGACCCCTTGCATATTCTCGTGTCACCTGACGCTCTTCCTCCTTCTCTCACTCTCTTTGACTTGATTTCTGAGCACTCTCCTCTCACGTGTAGTCCAGAAGATGACCTTTCCTTCTGCTGACAAAACTCATCTTCTTTGTAAAACAAAGCTTTAATTGATATTCATGACATGTTAGAAATTTTCTAGTTCTCTGTTTAGAGGAGGGAAGGGCCTTATGATGGAAAAGCACTAAAATGGGCGAAGAATCAGTAGCTTTACAACAAAATGGCTTATTTTGAATATAAGATATGTTCTAAAGCTCATCCTAAATCATTGCTGCCTGTAACAAGAAACAAACACATATTTCAGAGGGGTTCTCTGAAACTATCTTGGCATAATTTCCAAGTGGCATAAATATATATATGTATCTTTGCTGCCCCATGGACTATACAGTCCATGGAATTCTCCAGGCCAGAATATTGGATTGGGTAGCCTTTCCCCTCTCCAGGGTATCCTCCCAACCCAGGGATCAAAACCAGGTCTCCCGCATTGCAGGCAGATTCTTTACCAGCTGAGCCACAAGGGAAGCCCAAGAATACTGGAGTGGATATCCTATCCTTTCTCCAGCAGATCTTCCCAACTCAGGAATTGATCTGGGGTCTCCTGAATTGCAGGTGGATTCTTTACCAGCTGAGCTATCAGGGAAGCCCAACTTGAGAAACAAACATGTATTTCAGAGGGGTATTCTCAAACTATCTCGGCATAATTTCCAAGCGGCATAAATATATATGCATGTTCACTTACCATGATTTTCTCCAGGGATGCACTTTAATTCTTGGTTCAGGGAAGGCGTGGCCCTCTTTTATAGGTGTAACAGCAGGCGTGTGTGGCTGTGCTGGTAAGGACTGAGGAAGCAGCACTGCTACTCGGGCAGAAGAAGTGGGGAAAGTTGTCTCCCTTCTTCCCCCTGCTTCCTGAGACTTTTCAGGTCACTCACAGATGCCCTGCAGCTCCTGTTTACCAGATAATTATTGAGATGCACTATGATACAAGAAACTGTTAAGTCCCAAGGGCAAAAGATAATGTGGTCTGGTTCTTACCCGGCTCAAGAAACCCCTTGTTTATTAGAGAGACAAAAAGTACAAGCAATGACACTGCCTTGAACGGATGGGTTCATAGGGCTTGAGCACCACGGACCCTGGAGAGGCCAAGGGCCTGATTCTCCTCCCAGAAGATGATAGAGTGTGAGATGAAGGCCGTGGCGTGTAGGCCTGAAGGGGAAACAGGAGCTGGCTGGGCAGAGAGTGATGATGACGGCTTGGAGATGAGAAGGGAAAGCAGGACAGTCCAGGCCAGGGTAGGGGGACACAGTACATTAGGGAGACCAAAGCCAGCTGGTGTGGCCAGAGCCCCAGCGAGTGGAGAGGCGAGCAGCCCGTGAGGCCTGGCGGGGAGATGGGGCAAGACCATGCAAGGCAGCCTGGCACGCTGGGACCCGGGACGTGGCCCGGTCAGGTGGTCAGGGGTCTCTCTGGAGCAGAGGGGGCGAGCTAGCCTGGATGCAGGAGGCCGGCGGGGCCGTGTTATACACACACAGTTACTGAGAGGGTGGCTTCCCTCAGTCTCTTGTGCTCTCCGCCTCTCATGCTCAGTCTCAGCTGTGGGCTCCATCAAAGAGAAAACCAGCCTTTGGAGCTTGAGTTCCTACTTCTCAGACCACGCAAACGCCTTTATTTCTATCAACCTCTCTGTATCACTGTTGTGTGACTGCTGTTCTTCAAAACCTGTGATTTCTGTATTAGAGTATTATTATATTGGTTTGCCTATAACTGCAAATTGGGCTTGGGAGTCATAATTCTGAGAGTATCTTTGTTTCCTGCTAAAAATGCACACTTATACGTTAGTGTGACTGACCCTGTAATGCTTTAAAAAATGTTTTCACATTTGATCTTTACATAATACTCTGAGAACAGCAGGGCAGAGGGGACATCCAGCAGGGAGGTTCTGTGGCACGGGGCACCCCTCACCACACCCCATAGTGGTCTGATTTTTACGTGTGCTTATTTTCCATTTCTCCCCACAAGAATGTGCATTTCAGTGAGTAGTGACATTGTTTTATCTGTAATGCCTACAAAACAAATAGGAACCAATAAATGTCTGTTGAATGATTAAAAATGAACAAAAGGCATAAAGAGCCCCCATGGGCAAGGAATCTGGGAGTTCTGGACAGAGAGAAAGCGATGAGAAGAAGGAACAGTGGAGAACGTGAGAGGCCCTGTGAGGAAGGAGCTTTGGGAAGTGTTACTAGGGGCTTCCCTTGTGGCTCAGCTGGTAAAGAATCTGCCTGCAATGCAGGAGACCTGGGTTCACTCCCTGGGTTGGGAAGATCCCCTCACAAAGGGAAAGGCTACCCACTCCAGTATTCTGGTCTGGAGAATTCCATGGACTGTATAGTCCATGGGTTCACTAAGAATCAGACATGACTGAGCGACTTTCACTTTCCCTAGGGGTCGTGTGATGAATCCCCTCTAATTGTCTTTGACACATGAGAATAAAATTGGTGCTGCTTTTTCATTAAAACAACAGACAAAAATGTTACTATTGTTACCCACATTTCACAGATGAGAACACTGGTGTAGCTAACCCCAACCCAGAACTGAACACTAGTTTCCTGGCTCAAAACCATTGCTTTGCAGGAGAGAGATCTCTGCCCAAGAGTGGCCTTGGGGAGAAGGGGGTTCTTCTTCCTTGAGAATCAGGAAGACCCTGCAAAGAAAGGCAAGGGTATGAGGGCCAGCTCTGACTTGGGGGTTAGGTGAACAGATACCATAATTGTATTTAAAAGAGCCGTATTCCATTATGTGTTGAAATTTGTACAAATAGAACATGGATCATCCTCTGGGCCAAGCCTAAACTTTCTGAAGGATGTGACCTTAGCACAGTATTAAGGATTTACTATGGGCTCCCTGAACACCCACTGAACTGAACTGCTCCTGCACGTCTGTCTGCTGGGCCACACAGCTGACTGTGTGATGCTTGCTTGCTTTCTTCTTTCCTCGCCTGCTTCTTTCTTCTTGTGGGGTTGTCTCTGCCCTGCTGTCTATCACATCAGCCCTCCAGAATCTCACCTTTCACTGTCTGTATTTTTAACCATTTCAGTAAGTTAAGTCCTTAAAGGCAAGATCCACATTTTTGTTTCCCAAGCCATGTCCATGTGACTAATTCAAATGTTTTTTCACCTTGTCCTAAATCCTGACAAGGGGTGGGTTAAATGAGATGTCTGCGTGTGTACCAGGACACTGGGGGGCATTCATTCATTCATTCAATGAACATTAACCAGCACCTCTGTGGGACAAGCTCTCAGGTTCTGTTACCACAGCAGGTAACACACCATGATCCCATTCTTAGGGAACCCACAGACTAGTGGGAAAGCATCACTGAATAGGTAAAGAAAATACGATAGAACTGAATCAAGCCATCATTTACTGTTTACTAAATATTTCTAGAAGAGGAAAAAAGAGAAGTTGGGTATTGAAAATGGGTTAGGCTGCTATAATTCAACATTTTATTTTGCATCAGAGAAAGAAAGTAGCCTCTGGGGTCTGCTTTGGAATTGAATGCAGTCACTTAGAAAGCTTCTCAGGATAACTGAGCCTCAGTTTAAGCATCTGGAAACTGAGGGTCATTGTGCAGGTTTGTTGTGAGGATAATAGGGGCATAACCCAGTACTGGGTATGTAGAGGCTCCGGGGAGTGCATGTGGCATCACTGCATTGTAATTTTGTGTATGACTAAAGGGATAAAAAAAGAATATAAACTGGAACCTTTGGTCCTTGTTTCAACAGAAGGAGGACCTGCCGGACCCACGGACCGCAGACCTGTATGAATTCCGCTTCAGCGACTTGCCCATCACAGAGCACGAACTGATTAAGTGTGGACTTCGGCTGTTTTTTGAAATAAATGTGGTGGAGAAATTCAAAGTACCCGTAGAGGTTAGATGGTATTTCATTTAAAATATGGTGTGATTCTGTGGCAGTTCTCCACTGCGTAAAATTACCTGTGGTTCAAAAAGATTCGCTGCAGGGTGGATCTTAAATTATCATTAACTTTGTCAATATATCTGCTTAAACCCTGTAAACAAGGCCATCCTATCTTTTCAGATAAGGTTGTCACAGACCTTCTAACCTTTAGAATTCTGTTCCAAAGTCTGAGTGGTGTTGTCTTCTTTGGCGGCAGGTTCTCACCAGATGGATGTACACGGTGAGGAAGGGGTACCGGGCTGTCACGTACCACAACTGGAGACATGGGTTTAATGTGGGGCAGACCATGTTCACTTTGCTGATGGTAGGTATGGAGCGCAGCAACTGGTGAAAACCTGCGTGCCTCCTTCCTGAACGTGCTGAGAATAGATACAGGCTATCACTTTAGATCTGTAATTTTGTAATTCATGGATACAATCCCATAAATCCCCAAATCCTCTGGAGATGATGCTAGGGCATGTGGGTATCCCTGGGCGCTTGACTGGATTATAACTCTGACACTCACAGACTTAGGTCTTTAAAGGAAAAAAGTTCAGTTCCCTGCTAGGTTTGTTAACTGCCCAGAATGAGCTACAAGAAATAAAACCAGTTTGGGACTTCCCTGGTGGTTCAGTGGTAAAGACTCCATGCTTCCAATGCAAAGGGTCAAGGTTTGATCCCTGATCAGGGAACTAAGATCCCATGTGCCACGTGGTATGACCAAAAAGGAAAGAAAGTCAGCTTGCTCTAAAAACACAGCAGACCCCCTTCTCCATCAGAGGCAAGCCTCACTGCACATGCTGCATAGTGTATTAATGTAAGTGAATATATGTCTATTTTCGTTTAGACAGGAAGACTGAAGAAATACTACACAGACCTTGAAGCCTTTGCCATGCTTGCTGCTGCCTTCTGCCATGACATTGACCACAGAGGCACCAATAATTTGTATCAGATGAAGTAAGTGAACATATGCTGCCACATCGATAGTTCTGGTGCCCCTGCCTTATTTGTAAATGCCTTCACTCCTTTTTCAACTTTGTTTCATCAAAGTATTGAATTCATACCTGTAGGTGCATTGATCTTCGACTTGCAGTTGTACGCCCTTGGGTGACACCCCCAACTCAAGCTAGAGAACATTTCTTCCTGGGTTCGCTACCTCTCATGTCCCTCGGCCTTGTGCCTCCACCAGCTGACCTTGCATCTTAACATCATCACCACCTTCCCCTCTTGCCCAAGAAGTGCAGCCTCTCAGCTCAGACAGATTTGTATTCACTGAGTTCACAAATTATTTAAACTTTCTAAGCTTTGAGTTCCTCATTGGGAAAATAAGAATTGTAATAATGCTACCTAACACTTAAAGTCATTGTAAAAATTAAATAAGGCTATACATACAAAGCAGTCCGCTCACGGTTGGTGCTTGGTGGTTAATAATTATCAGGTATTACTATTATTACTGTTATTATGTCATTGGCACTTTCAAAATTTGTCAGCAGTGCCATGGTCAACCTAGCTCCTTGATAGGACATTTAAGCTCTACCTGCCTTGGCCGCACTATATCCTCATCTCTTACACATAACCCACTACCCTACAAGGTACCAGAGGAAGTGAGACATTTTAGAGAGAATGAGCTTTGGGATCTGGGTCTGTGGGATCCAGACACTTCCTGTTGAGTGATCTTGGGTAAATCACTTAATGTATTTGAGATTCAGTTTCTTAATTGTTAAATGGGTACAATTTTGACCTCTCAAAGACTGCTGTGAGAATCATGTGAAATTGTATGTCTGAAATTACATAGTAGATGCTCAAGAAATTTACTCAATGAAGTAAGCAGGGACTTTTCACCTTCAGCAACTCTACCAATCAGGCTTTGCTCTGAAGAAGGGATTCCCAGTCTGGGTTGGGGCAAACCACATCTTCCTCTAAGAGCTCCAGTTCTGCATTCCTGAATGCAGGTTTCCTGACAATGACTGAGCTTCCTTCCGCCCTCCTAACTGCTTCAACCAATTCAGTTTCAAAGGCATGAATGTTTATTGAGCACTTGTGTACTGGGAGACCATCTGAGAACTTGATACCTATGGCCTTTTTGAATCCTTGTAGCCCTCCCACGTGGGAGGTACCACTATTCCCCTCTTACTGATGAAGAAACAAGTCCCAGTCAAATCTAACTTGCCATAGATAAAAAGAGAGTAGCCAAATGGGATGTGGCATCTCGTCTCCAGGTTTGCAGAAAAGATGAGACCACACCCCACACTTCTGCCTTGGCCTGGTGTTGGGAGACCGCGTGAGTCCCATCAGCGATGGGCGAGCTGACCTTCTTCCTTTTCTGTGAGAGAAACTTTGTAGTTCAAGCAATTAAATCACTTTATGCATTTGACAAATTAGGGTTTTTCTTAAAAAGATTTTTTTTAAAAGAGCATATTCTTCTGTTCTAAATCTAAAAATTCTTTTCCAATATGTTACTTTCAACTGTTTCACAGTCATTAGGAGAGAGGGAAGACATGAAAAAAAAAAAAATCCTCAGATTGCAAAGATTCTGTATTGTGTGATCTTATGTGTCATCTTTAAATAGCTAAAATGACCCTTTTCCTCCTAGGTCCACTTCTCCGCTCGCAAGGCTTCACGGCTCTTCCATCTTGGAGAGGCACCACCTGGAGTACAGTAAGACGCTCCTGCAGGATGAGGTACATGGGTGTCTCTCTAGGGCAGCTCACAAGCTCTGGATCAAAGCGCTAACCCACAGAAAATGCTTAGAAAGAGGTGATCCTGAATGCTGGTGGCTGACAGTGTATATACCCTTATTGAAGTCAATTGATAGAAATTGATATATTGCGATAGTTTTTGAACAATCAAATTGGAAGTAGCTGAGATAGAGGAGGAAAGAGCTATGAAAAGTCACAGAATCTCTGTGGGTCTGTAGAGTAAGAAGAAAAAGTTCATGATGAACATGAGAGGGCTCTGTGTACCTTCGGTATGTATGAATGTAAAAAGAGGAGGCTACACAGCCACTGCTTTTCTTATTCATAGGGCATGTACTGTTAAGGTATTGTCTGTATCTTTGAGAGAGTCAGGTGTTGGTAGTTTGGGGGTAGGCGTGAAAATCAGGCTGTAAGATCAGACAGCTGCCATCAGAGGCACTGAGTGAATGAGGGACATGTCCCATTCAGGAGTGGGTGGGGCATAGGAGAGAAGAGGCCTGGGACCAGGGAACTTTTCACAGGAAGTGGCTTAAGCTTGGTCCTGAATTCATTGTGATTTATACAATATCATGTACTACTAACTTTCAATAAAAAGATTCTTCTTTTTATCGATTTTATTTAAAGAGTATATAGGCTTGTTGGGAAAGTTTTGAATATAACCTAGTTATGCTTGAGAACAAATCTGAGAAGATTCTAACCCAGAATGAATCATTGTTAGATTGAAGGGAACATTCTTCTGTCTGCACAGAGAAATTGTCTAGAATCACACAAACTCATTAGGATAAATAAGCCCTCGGGACAGTGGAGCTTTTTTCACTTTTGATAGTAATCATTTATTAAAGGCTCAGGGGAAGGGGTACAAGGAAATATGTCCAAGTTTCGAGATAATATTACATTCTTCTAGGTAATCAAAAGCCAAGTGGGAAAATTTGTAAGGGCAATTAGGCAGAAAAGTAGAAAAAGAAAACAGACATATGATTTAAATGTTTTTAATAGCCTGTGATTGATGCAGCATCCAGACAGGGAGACACAGACCAACTGCACTAAATTATTGGTTTCACAGGGCAGAGGTGGGCAGGCGGTTAAAAACACATCCTGGGCTTCATCTCCCACTTACCAGGCTCCCTGGGGATTGGACCTAGGAGTCTGATTTTTAATAAGAATTTTCATAACTCTCGTGTAGCTAGGACCTGTTCCTGCAGTAGTATCATAAAAAGAATGAAGATATCTATTCTATGAGAGTTGGAAAAAATAGAATTGAAAGTAGTTCATGAATATAATAGTGACTTGTTACCTACCCAATTTGTTAAGGGTCTTGCTTTACTGGTTGGGATGGTTTTATGTTTTTTGAGTAAGGACCTTCCATATATCCAGCTGATTACATATACCACAGGCAGGTAGTATCAAAAATAATTTATTTAATTTTACATTTACCTACTAATGCAAAATATATTCTAAAACCTTTATAGCCAAATGTTTAAATGCTTAACTTTGGAAGGGCTCCTAGTAGCTCATATGTTTTTACTTTCTGGGATTTGAGAGTTTAAAATAGAGTTGTTGTTTCCCATCTTAATTTTTTAATGTTATTTACTCTGTAGTCTGAACTGGTTTTCATGGCTAGATAAAGGCTTATTCTTTTTAAAAAGGAATAGTGCATCCTAGTAATCCATGCCACCTTGGCAAGGACCTATCTACAATGCTATTTGACTTGCTAATTGCAGACTTTTAGGGTTGTAAATAGAGTCACTAGGCAATAAATGCAATCACAGAGCTTTTTATGAGCAGGCAAACTGAATGCTGAAAAAATGAAATTTTAACATCAGATGTTGTTTTCACATTTTTGGAAGACAGTACAGTTCTTCTATTTATTTGTTGTATAGAGGAAATATTTATATTTAAAACTTTAATTTTTTTACATAAGGCAAATCCTTATCTAGCAATTTTGCCATGTTGTAGGCATTACTCATTGTGTTTTGTATATTATCAAGCTTTATGTCCCAGTAGAGTTGGATTCCCTGCTTTGAGGACAGAACCGTCTGTATTCTAAACTAGTCAGAAATCCACCCTTTAACCTAATGATTAGGGGTTAAAACCCTTGTTAGCCAAATTTCTCAGAATATAAACTTTAATACAACAATGTACTGTCAGAATGACAAAATGCATTATTTAGAATAAATAACAGAATACTTTTATTATTCAGAACACCTCTTCATAAAATTTATAACTTTATGCCTTTTCATACTGACTTCATGTTATACAAAGAAGGAATGAAGAAGAAATTAAGTATCTTGTGTATGATCACCAGCCAGCCACAAACATGTTGCAGTCTTCCCTTGGGGTGTAGCATGTACCACATTGAAGACTAGAACTCACCTTCCTGAGAGTCCTCATCAGGATGAATTGGAGCCATTTCTATTTTGGTGTGCTACACCGAATTTAGATATGTAGTGCCATTTTCATAGCAATAAGAGAACAAAAATGGCCTGTTAATGGTAGAGAGCAATGTTAGACTCTGTGGGCAGGTGAGCCCTGCTGAACAGGTGGGGGCCCAGTTGGAGTGGGGCTGGCTGGGATGGAGGCCTCCTCTCTTGTTCTGTGTACCTGTCTCTACATAACATTTCCAGCACAATTCCCTGGAAGCACAAATGGAATATTATAGACTCATATATAGATATCTTAAATTAATGACAGTAGTGGTTGTAAAAATTACATGCATATACCTGCTATGAAAATTCAAGCAATAGGAAACATTCTAAAGATAAATATTTAAAAATTGCTTTAAATCCTACCACTCAGAAATAGGACATTTCATTAACATTTAATGAACTTCATTGTAGCCCACTGTGACTATATATAGGCAGGATGGTTAGAAACAATGTTAGAAAAGTGGGATCTCACTATCGGAACTATTTTTGTTGTTGTTGTTGTTAGAGTTATCTATTTAACTGAGTTTATTGAAGTGTAATGTTTGAACAATAAGCAGCATCCCTAAATTCTATGAATTCTATCCCTACACTTGGATAGATTTTATCCCAACACACTCAGGATACAGAACACTTCAGTCATCTCCTTTGGGATGACAAAGGAGACTGCTCCCTGGTAGTCTATCGCTGGATACAGAACACTTCAGTTCTGTAGTAGTCTATGCTAGCAGTCCCCCGGTAGTCTATGCTTCTCTCCCCTCCCAGCCCAAAGCAAGCAATGAAATGTTTTTAGTCACTACAGATTAGTTTGAATCTTTTAGATTTTTATATAAATGCAGTCATCCAATAATTACTCTTTTGTGACGATGACTTTCATTCAGAACAATAATTTTGTGATTTGTTAATTTTGAGCGAATGAGTCAGCAGTGATTCATTCCTTTTCACTGCTTGTGCCTTGTATTTATCTTAAATGAAGATTTTAATTTTACTTCAGTTTAATGGAAGAAACATTTTTTAAGGGAAGGAATTACAGAACTTCAGAGAACTGTGTCCTTAATCACAAGAGATATTAGTTCTTAGAGAACACTAAAATCAATAACTAGTGGTTATGTGTTACCTTTTCACCATCTCTGACTCCCTGCTGTAAAACATGAGAAATTCGAATACTTACACTGCTTCCCACATCTCTACTTCTGTTTTGTAAGCTATTATCAGTATTTTTTTTATTGCTATCAGGATTTATAAAATTAACTTATAATTTCCTTAAGTGTCTTTTTTTTTTAACCAGAGCATTTATTGCATGACTAATGGTCGAAATCCTTAAGATGAACTGGATGCTGCCCCAGCGGCTCTCTTGGGTTAGGTGTTCTCCCAGAATCCACGCCTGAGTCTTCCGTGTACCATTTGTAGGTGCCTTGCTCACCTGGCCTAGGTGGTGTTCCAACTGTAGCCTTGGCAACTCCAGTCACATTTCCTCTCCTGCCTGGCGGTGTTGCCACAGTGGTCATAGGTCAGCTTCTGAAGGTCGGAGGCCTTGGAACCACAGTCTTACTTCCAGATGACAGTGTTCCCTTTGTCATCTCTCTTCTATGGTTAAGACCAAAGAGGCACAATTGTTTATTCCAACTTCTACTTTTCTACGGGCCTGATACGTAGCCTCAAACTTTTTTTTTAATGTTTTATTTTTTTTCCATTTATTTTTATTAGTTGGAGGCTAATTACAATATTGTAGTGGTTTTTGTCATACGTTGACATGAATCAGCCATGGATTTACATGTGTTCCCCATCCCCATCCCCCCTCCCACCTCCCTCCCCATCCCATCCCTCTGGGTCATCCCAGTGCACCAGCCCCGAGCACTTGTCTCATGCATCCAACCTGGGCTGGTGATCTGTTTCACCCTTGATAGTATACTTGTTTCAATGCTGTTCTCTC